ATCTTTATATATTTTATCTTTAGCCACACATTTAAAGTAGATTGGCCAGTGTTAATGATGAATATTACTTTCTAGTAAATATTATGTGCTACAGGTTTTCAAATTATTTAGATGTACTATGTTTAAGATTTGTGTAAATTCTGAAAATTATGTGGTCATCGTCATGTCCTTGCCTGATTGCTAACTTAGTTATGTAGTCTTTGTCATATACTTGCCTGTAAGTGTTAACTTAGCATTGCAGGTTTATAGTGCTTTAGTAGTCCAGGTGACTTTAAATTCCTATGTGTGTTTGTATTCTTCAACATACATGTGCAGATCTGAGCTCCAGTGAATTAGTAGTATTCTGACAGCAGTTTGTTTCATTCATATGACTAATGTCTGTCAGACATATGTCAAAAATTAAGATGATGGTTGTTTTGAATTTTTCCAAAGAGAATTCTTCTTCCACTTACTATAGAATAATGCTTTTTTAGCAGTTTGTTTTCATTCTTTTGAATGCCTTTTGATCTTTTATCTAGAAATGCAGATGGAAAAATTACATCTCTGGATGCAAAATTGAACTTGGAAAACAAAGACTACAAGAAAACAACCAAGATCACTTGGCTTGCTGAGACTACACACGCTCTTCCTATTCCAGCAATCTGCGTCACATATGAGCACTTGATTACAAAGCCAGTGCTTGGGAAAGACGAAGACTTTAAGCAGTACGTCAACAAGGACAGTAAGGTACCTGAAGAAACCAGACCTCATCCTTTCTTACACAAAGTCTAGCATTTGGGAAGCTAATTTTAAATGTTTTAATTTCTTAGCCTAAATAGAAGGGCTTGTAGAATTTTCTTTAAATATAAAGATGTACCTGGACCTGGCAGCTCACGCCAGTCAATCCAAACCTTTGGGGGGTTGAGGCAGGAAGGTCATGAGTTCATGGCCAGCCTGGGCTACATCGTCATATTGTCTCAAAACTCAGATATATAGCTCAGTGGCAGAACTTTAGCATAGCATGTACAAGGCGCTGGGCTCAACTTCCACACTGAAACAAAATTAATGGAAACAAGTAAACAATAAAGATGTAAAGAGGAGTGTTCCCATTTTTAGCTTTTTTGTTTGTTTGTTTTTTCGAGACAGGGTATCTCTGTAGCTTTGGAGCCTATCTTGGAACTCAGAGAGATCTGCCTGCCTGTGCCTCCCAAGTGCTGGGATTAAAGGCTTGTGCCACCAATGCCCGGCTGAGTGTTCCCATTTTTAAATGACATGCTTTCACAGTGAAGTTAAGTAACTTGCTTAAACATTTGGTAAAGAGTAGAGGTGAATTAAAACCTGTGCATCCTGCTCAGAGAGCCTTTGAGTGCTACTGTTCCTTCAGCTGCATTTCATAGTTATGGGAGGAGCTTATTTTCACAGGACTGGGATGAATGTGCTTGCCTGTAATCCTAGCCTTCCCAGGGCCGAGGCAGGAAGATTGCTAACTCCAGGTTAGATGTGGCTTCATGGTGAGATGCTACAAAACAAAACAAAAACCAGCCAATCAAAATACATCAGCATTTTTATATGTGTTACAGGGATCCAGCTCAGGTCCTCAAGCTTTCAAAGCAAAGGCTTTACCAAATGTACCGGTGTTGTTTTAAGTGAGCATAGTCTAGCTGTTGGAATATTGCTTGTAATTTCCAGTTATCTTAGTGCTCTACTTAGAAAAATTACATTTGGTTCTATGTCTTCATAGCATGAAGAACTAATGCTAGGGGATCCCTGCCTTAAGGATTTGAAAAAGGGTGACATCATACAACTGCAGAGAAGAGGGTTCTTCATATGCGACCAACCATATGAACCAGTTAGGTAAATATTGTGTCCTTTTTTGTGTTGTTCTGGTGGTGTTGAGGATTGAGCCCACTGTTTCACGAGCAGGCACTCTACACCAGCTGTCTTTTAGGTAAATAAATGTAACATCTAAAAAAAATCTTTGAAGTTCACTCACAGTGAATAATTTAAAAGTTGAGCTCGACTAAAACACTGTGGTAAATTTCTGCTCAGCTTAAATTTGACCTATGCTTAATGTTTTAGATTTGAATTAATTAGTAAGTAAGCATACTGGACATTAATAAGCTATTCATTTCTAAAGTGAAACACCCCCATGAGATGTGACCATGTCTAAGATTGTGTGCTAGAAGCGGTGAGATGTTGGGAACAATGCCCCCCCCCCCAACATTGGCAGCGGTGTTCGTATAGATTGATGATACCTGATGTGTCTTTGTGCTGTTCTGAGTCCATAGGGCCAGGAAAACTCCCTTCACTATAGAGGAGGAGTTTGTTCAGAACGACTTAGGTTATATTCTCAGATCAGACTAGACCTCTTATATTAGTGCAGGAGAGACCCAAAAACAATCAGGCCCACTCTTAGATAAGTGGCATTGCCTCAAGAATGCACTGTAGTTTGAAAAGCATTAACTGTGTATATCATTAAATTTATCTATTAATTCAGTATTAATTGAAGTTAGATAATTTTGTTTGAATAAGCTTTTGACTGTTTTCTTTTTAGCCCATATAGTTGCAAAGAAGCCCCGTGTATCTTGATCTATATACCTGATGGGCACACAAAGGAAATGCCAACGTCTGGATCAAAGGAAAAGACCAAAGCAGAACCCTTGAAAAAGGAGGTAAATGCTGACGCCTACAGAGAGCTCAGAAACCTGAACATTTGTAGCCCCAGGCTTAGAAATGTCTTTAAGAGAGCATGGTTTTTCTTGCCTTTGAGATTCTGAGTTTGAAGAAGACACCAAGTGCTGCTTTTTACTTTGCTGTTTCTTTTATCTTTTCTGGTAAGATGTTTTGTTTTGGGGTTTTTGAGACAGGGTTTCTCTATGTAACCCTGTCTGTCCTGGAACTCACTCTGTAGACCAGGCTGACCTCAAACTCATTGAGACCCAGCTGCCTTTGCCTCCTAAGTGATGATACTAAAGGTGTACGCCATCACCACCTGGTGAGAACACATTGTTTTAAAAAACATGATTTTACTAAGCACACCTTTAATCCCGGCACTCGGGAGGCAGAGGCAGGGGGATCTCTGGGAGTTTGAGGCCAGCCTGGTCTACAGAGCTAGTTTCAAGACAGTCAGGACTACACAAAGAAACCCTGTCTCAAATAAACAAAATAAATAAATAAATAAAAACAAATCACCGCTGCCTAAGCCTAGACTGACAGAACATTCTTGGGGAACTTCCTTAGTGCTTGGATTACAGGGATATATGTCATTATGCCAGGTTTCAAGAATACCATTTTTTATGAAAAATAGCTCTTTTCCAGAACAAAGCTTGTTGTTGAAAGAACAGTGTCATTTTGAAGTTTGCAATCCTTTTGTTGTTGTTGTTTGGGGGAGTACAGTTGTTGGTTCTCACTATGTAGTTCTGATTGGTCAAGAACTTGCTGTGTTAGTAAGACTGGCCTTGACCTCAGTGTAATTTATCCGCTGGGATAAAAAGCCTATGCCACCATACCCAGCTTGCACATCTCTTTAATGTCTTACTTAAGCACTTCTGAAAACTTGAACTAAACACTCATTAAGAGAATGAGATCACTAAAGGCCTAATACACGTTAGTATAATATTATAATGAAAATAGCTATGACCTTCCAGCCCCTCTTTGAAGGGACTGCAGAAACCTTGGGATCTGTGCACTGGTCTCTCCCTAGTCCCATGTGGCACCCACCCTCCTACTACCTACACTCTCTGAAAGATACTGACCAATAAGTGCTTTTGAATGTCTGTCATACATTCAGTAGTGGGGCTGATATTAAAGAGTATAGACTTAACACAAACCGCTGAATATCTTGCTTGGTGTCATTTAGATCATAGCTGTGATCACCAAAGGCTAAACTGAGCTAAACATTCAGAGTAATTCATTCACCTGAGTACCGCATGATGGTGGCGATGGCCTCCAGCATGGTAGTGTCATGGTAGGGAGGCTACTTACATTAACAGCTCAGACCTTCAGAACCGAGGGTCTGGAAGAAAAGAAGCAAAACAGCAAACAGCAGAACTGTGTGTTCAGTAGGCGTAGTCTAGAAGGTCTCACAGTTGCGTCTGCTGTGCACTATTGAGAAGATACATCTAAGCTGCTCAGATTCAGGGCAGCAGATACTCACTTTTAGGTGGAAGGAGTCTCAAAGAATGTGTGGTTAGTTATGCTGTGAAAGAGTGTGTGGTTAGGCTGTGAAACCACAAACCCTACAAGCAACCCAAGTGCAACTGACCAGTGTTTATTTGTACTCAGTGTTGTTGTCAGAGAGATCTGTAGTCTCAATGGTTTCCTTTTGATGATCCTTGAAGTTATTTGACTCCATTAAGAGACTGCTGCTATCAAAATTGAAGTCTCATCTAGGGCTTATTGATGCATTGTGTGTGTGTGTGAGTGTGCGTGCATGTGCATGTGTGTGTGTTTTCTTGCTTTAGCTCCCAAGGTTTAAGCGTATGCTACCACATCTGATTCTCTCAGAGTATCTCAATGAATTCTTTGCTAATAAGTAATTGACACTTACCTGAACTTTTAAAAAACGTTGAAGATAATGCTGAATGACTGCTTACAGATTTATTTCTATTTTCTCATCAGTCTAAATGGATACTTAACCTTTATAAGAACATATGTAATTATTTTATGTTGCATCTCTGGAATGTGTGGTAATGGTGATTTGTTTTTATTTATTTATTTATTTTGTTTATTTGAGACAGGGTTTCTTTGTGTAGTCCTGACTGTCTTGAAACTAGCTCTGTAGACCAGGCTGGCCTCAAACTCCCAGAGATTCACCTGCCTCTGCCTCCCGAGTGCTGGGATTAAAGGTGTGTGCCACCACTACCTGACCTGAATAAATATTTAACACTAGACAGTAGATCTCTTTACTCCACCAGATACCGTGTGGTACAAGAAAGTACCAAATAATAATCTGCCCAGAGACTCTGCCATTCACTTCTTCCACCAACATGACCAATAAATAAGTAGCCATTAGTATCCAGTTTAAGTCAGAGTAGCAGTGATTTATTCCTGACCTGAGTGGATACATTACACTACTTTCCTCTTCTAAAGAGAAAGACACAAGCTCCTGTGGAACCCTCTTCCTCCCTTGGGTTTCACTGTGATGACAATGCTGTGATGACTGCTTACTTCTCCCTTTGTCTACTGCTGCCATCTCTGTGGGGATAAGGTTTTTAGGTGTGAGCTGATTCATCTGAGCTTTTGAAATACTAAGTTTGATATAAGCTTGTGACAATGTTTGACAAGAATTAATACTTGACTTTTGTTTTTCTGCATCCATAGACAAGCTCTGCTCCTAAAGAAGGACCAGTGCCTGCTGTGAGTCCTTGTGCTGCCTCTGAGGAGTCCTCCGTCCTTTACAACAGAGTGGCGGCTCAGGGGGATGTGGTTCGTGAACTGAAAGCCAAGAAAGCGGCAAAGGAAGATGTAGATGCAGCTGTGAAGCAGCTTCTGGCTTTAAAAGCTGAATATAAACAGAAGACTGGGCAGGAGTATAAACCTGGGAACCCTCCCTCTGCAGCAGCGCAGAGCGCCTCCACTAAGTCACTGCCCAGCGCTGGGGAAGATAGATCTCTGTATGATAAAATTGCTGCCCAAGGGGAGGTGGTTCGAAAGCTGAAAGCTGAAAAAGCTCCTAAGGTCAGTGTGCTGGAGCCCAGTGCATCTTCAGCAAGCCCGTGAGTTCTGACTGTTTGAACATAGTCGCCTGTCCCCGTGAAGCAGTTTGTAGGCTACCTGGTTAAATATTTTGACCTAGAAATCAACATTTCATATTGCCTGCTATATGCCGAGGCTGAAAGTAAACTCCCAGCTGAGACTGGAGCGACGACTCAGTGTTAAGGGTGCATACTGCTTCTGCAGATGGTCCGTGTGTCAGGCCAGTCACAACTTCCTGTATCCAGCTCCAGGGAGATCAGTGTCCCTGGTCTCAGAGTGCGCCTGCACTCATGTGCACATCCCCATACACAGTTACATAATCAAAAGGAAGACCTATAAAAGGAAAGAGAAATTTAAGTCTTAAGGAAAAAACCCCTCACAGTTCATGGAGGTGAGGGACATTGAAAACAAGACAGACTCACTGTAACTCTGTGGCATGTGTGTGACCTGTGTGGTGTGTTTGTGTTGCTGTGAGATGTGTTTGTGCTCAAGAGTAATGGTGAAGGAGAAGACAATTCATAAAGGATATTTAAAACACTCCCTGTAGGCTAGGGTAGAGCTCGCTGGCCCTCCCTCCTCTCTCTCTCTCTCTCTCTCTCTCTCTCTCTCTCTCTCTCTCACACACACACACACACACAAATAAAAGTAAAATTTAAAAACTGTACAGGAGGGCTGGTGTATGAAACAAGGGCTCTTGTAGCCATGGCTGTCTCAGAACTTACTATGTAAATCAAGCTGGCCTTGAACTCACAGAGATCTGCCTGCCTCTACTTCCGGGGTGCTGGATAGGCCACCACACCTGAAGGTATCACTTGGTTTAGTGTCTGTGTTTATTAGGGGTAAAGCTTGGATTGATCCCCAGCATAGCACACACATACATTCTGGAAGAGTAGAAGCCTTTTACAGATGATGGAGTTCACAAAGGGGCATTTGGCTATGGAACTGGGAAACTATGGTTCTTGGCCCTGTGTGCATTAGAACTTTTAGAAGTCTTGTTAAAACACAAGGACTGTGGCCTCTCCCATTAAGCTTCAGGAAGTTCATGGTGTGGGGAGAGATGCCCTTTGTCTTTTGTATTATTAGTTACGGTTCTCATCTCTCACCAAATAACCCAACAGGCAGTATAAGGGGAATATTCTCACTCACAGTTTGGGTTCTGTATGCAGTTCATTGTGGGTAAGGCATGGAGGCTCGAGTGACTCGCTGAGGTGGGGGCAGGGATTTATTCACGCTTGGCGGACTAGGACACAGAGAAAGGAGAGTGCAGGCACTGATCTGGCTTTCCCTCTTTCCTCTCTTAATTTTCCTGGGCCCCTGACGGTGGGATGGTCCACCCATCTCATCATAGCTCACCTTCAGTTAATCCTCTGTGAACACCATGCAGACACGTCCATAGGTGTGTCTCCTAGGTGATTCTGAATCCAGTTAGGTTGGCAGTGAAGAGTAACCCTCACAATGCACGTCCAAATAGTTGTTCAGGTGCCAGTGCTGCTGGTGGGGGATTGAAGAAAGCCACCGTGCCTGGCTTTTGGTTTGGTTTGTTTTTGTTTATATGGCGAGTAGTCCTTTGAGACATGCCATCATCAGCCTTAGCCAATTAGAGTAGATTCACGTGACTCCCATCCTTTGAGTGGCCCTGAAAAATCACCTAGGTTTTTAAACTGGCCGTTAACCCTGCCTTCGAGGCCTTACCTACCTGAGTGGATGTGTTGTCCTTGGCACCAGTAATGTGGTTGCTGGGAGAGCTGAGGAAAGAAGGCACAGTTCCGGGGAATGGAGAGGGGAGGGTGGTTGGGAAGAAGGGATAGAGGTCTCGTGGATGGATGAGCATGAACTGAGGGGCAGTCAGTGTTTCAGAGGCAGGCACAAGTCCACAAACTACAGCACAAACTCCAGCGTTCTTCCTGTTGAGGCTGTGCCTGATCTTCCAGGTCCAGCACAAGCACAGATGGCTCCTTTTAAAATTTAGAAAAATTACATTTAGTCATTACGTATTCAGTATCTGAGTGGTTTTTAATACAGCAGCCATAACATGGCACAGGCTTTATAAAGCACTAAACTACCAGACGTTGGTGGCGCACGCCTTTAATCCCAGCACTCGGGAGGCAGAGGCAGGCAGATCTCTGTGAGTTCGAGGCCAGCCTGGTCTCCAGAGTGAGTGCCAGGATAGGCTCCAAAGCTACCCAGAGAAACCCTGTCTTGAAAAACCAAAAAAAAAAAAAAAAAGGCACTAAACTTCAGATTCCACAGCCCAGTTTAGCAAACCATGAACACCACCAGCCAGACCTACTTGGTAGTCTGTGTTGTCTCTGTCTGTTCCCTGCTGTAGACATGGAATTGGGTGTTTGAAATTTAGACCCAGGGCAAAGAGGATTGAAAACTCAACATAACTAAAGGTCTTTACAGACTACTTCTGGGTTCTGGGCAGTGCTGTACCAGCTGGTCATGACTCCTCTGGGGCTATTTCTTACAGGCTTTGGTAGGTTACTAAGCACAGATTTCTAATTAGAAGATACTACTTTTAAAAATCCTGTGATCTTTCAATTGGTTAATCTCAATATCTTGTAAGTATGAGCCACAAGCTTTCAGTGTTCCCACCCCTGCAGCTGGAAGATCACTGGCTCTGATTGCCATTCCCTCTTACCCACCAAGAGCAAACCTCTGCTTTGGGGAGTTATTACTGATGTGTGTGAGTATTGCTTTCTTACATGTGCTAAGGTGAAAAGATGGATATTTTTAGAGCAGAAAATTTGGTGTGTCCTAGCTATTTTCTTGAAAAGTTCTCTTGTTAGCATTTAAATAACTAAGGGAACTAGAGTTTTCTTTTGATTTTCCCACCGTTCTCAATGTTGAGATGCGTCCATCTAGTGGCTGCTGCAGAAATAGCTCTTCACTTACTTGCATTCTAAATGAGACCTGATGACCACCTCTGTTTTTCTCCATTTTCTTCATTTCACAATCTTTGAATTACCGTTTTAAGACCACTTTCACATACCTCAGATTCAGTCTGAACCCTTTAGAGAAATTGTGTGTGGATTGCTTAAGTCACTATTAGTCCACATTGATGACTGAGTAGAATTTTATGTGAGATCCATATCTCATAAGCGCAAAACAATGTTTGTCCATTAAGAACTGAGCATCTGTTAGCTCTGGATGTTGTGTGTTGTTCCAAGAAGGAAGTACTTCATGCAGTCTCACTTAGTGAATCCCCTTCAATTCAGAAAAAAATTTATAAGGTTACTCTCCTCATCCTTCAGTTGTACATTATGTATTGCTAGAGACACATTCAACTAATAATGCAGTATGTGTGTGTGTTCATGTGTGTTGTGCATGGCTGTGCTGGTGTGTGCTTGCCAGATGTTGACTCATCATTTGAGGCAGGGACCCACTGAAGCTACTGTTTTGGGTGGACTGTGAAGATGGGTATATAATTATTTCACTAGACCCAAGATAAATATAAATGGGTGTTTATTGGGGAACGATTACGCAGAAAAATACGAAAAACCGCCAGAGCGCTTGCCGAATATGTCAGCCTGAGGCCACGCCTAAGGGGGTGTGGCTACCATTACAAGTTCATTGCAAAACCACTGCAGGACTGTCTCGATAGAGAGCCCCTTGTGCACACTCAGAACATTGTTCCATGCGTTTGTGATGCTATGAAGACCTGTAGTCAAGATCACAGCATGCAATTTCTGTCTACCTCTTGCCATGTAAACTTGGATCCGGACACTTACTTTCTGAGATTTGCTGCTTCTGTTAAATGTAGATGAGGGTGAAAGGTATTTTGAGAATTAAGTAAGACAGAATACTTAGCATGGCATCTGGAATCGAGTAAGTATGTGTTGAAATGATACATTCTTTTGTTAATGGTTCTAATTTCCCTCAAGAACCATATACCTACTTTCTGAATCATGCAGGAAATGTGCACAGCAGTTGGTAGAGTTTGGCTCTTATTTTGGAAGTATGTGTGTATTATTTATACATGTAATCTTGGTAGAATAGAGTATCTTATTCAATGATATAATAGATGGTTTACCTTAATTTTCTCTTCTATAAAATTTCAAAATTTATAGCAGGGAGGTAGTATGCATGCCTTTAATACCAGCACTCAGGAGGCAGAGACAAACACATCTCTCTGAGTTCGAGGCCACCCTGGTTTATAAAGCTACACAGAGAAACCTGTCTTGAAAAACCAAAAAACAAACAAAAAAATCTTTTATGTTGTGAAGCTAGGAAATTTTCTGTGTGAAACTGTACCATTTGAATTCAAACAGAAATGAATGTTTAAACTTTATTTTATGAGAGAGAGAGAGAGAAAGAGAGAGAGAGAGAGAGAGAGAGAGAGAGAGAGAGAGAGAGAGAGAGAGAATTGGGGCATATGTGGAAGTTAGAGACTACTGTGGGAGTCAGTTCTCTCCTAGGTTGAACTTAGATCATTGGAACTTATTTCAAAAAGTTTTTTGTAGATGTATTTACAAGGGTGTCCCTTTTTTCTTCATATTTTCATTCTTTTAGCTGATGATGCCCTGGCTTTCTTTGTTCTGCCCTTGCTTCCACTTTCTTCTGTCCCTCTCCCTGGATTCTCCTTCTCTTTCTTTCCTTCTTCCTTTAAATGTGACCTTTTTCTTTCTTTTTTTTTCTTTTTTTTGGGTGGGAGGTTTCAAAACAGGGTTTCTCTGTGGCGGCTTTGGAGGCTGTCCTGGAACTAGCTCTTGTAGACCAGGCTGGCCTCGAACTTACAGAAATCTACCTGCCTCTGCCTCCTGAGTGCTGGAATTAAAGGCGTGCGCCACCACCGCCCAGCCTGTGACCTTTTTCTTAAGAAAGAAACTCTATTGGGAAATAACTCTTAATTCTACAGTAATAGCAACAAGAGACAGGTTGGGAATACAGACAGCCTTCCCTAAGCTTCTCTTTGTTCACCCCCAACCCCTTTTTTTCCTGAGTCAAAGCCACACTTTGTAGTTCAGGCTGGTCTTGAACTCAGGATCCTTCTTCCTCAGTTTCCATAGCCTGCAATTATAAACATCCACCGACATACCTAGATTCTCCTTTTCAAACAAGTTCCTGGGATAACAGACCACAAAGTCTGTAGGTAGGAAAACAGAGCAGTCCAAGAAGGTGTGAATTGCCACCTCCTGGATGCAGCTCTGGTGCTGCTCCTGTATGGCTGGGAGCTGGTCCTGGGTGTGCTCCCTTGCTCCTGTCACGTTGACTCTGCTACCCTGGGCGGGGGGTGTGATGCATCCGTGAGGCAAGGCACTTGCTCTTCACTGTGTGGTTGCTGTCTTAAGGTTCTCAGTCAGGTGTTGATTTGTAGCAGTATTTTGAGGTCAGGCATCTAGCTCGAGTCCTTTCCCTGTGCTGCTGTCTTCTGTGGTAGAGTGTGTCACCCTTTCTGTTTATGTTGAAATATGCAGGTAATTGGGAAATTTAAGACTTCAGCACACTTTCTCATTTCTTTGTTAGTTTTTGAAAGTGGTCTGTGGAGACTGGTTTCAGAACTCGATCAGATAACAAAGCTGAAGGCACACGAGTCGCTTATATAAAGTAGCATGGTATTTCCATATTGTCTGTTCATTTCCTTCTATGTATTTGTGTGCTTAGTTAGAGTCCTCTCTGGATTACTTACTGTACTAATAGGACGTAAACAGTTGTCCTGTTGAGGAGATGATCATGAGGCATCTGTACATTTTCAGACTAGAGCAGTGTTTTGCCACCTGTACCTTTTAATACATTTTGCTCAACTGAGTCTTTGAAAGGCTTTTTGAAAAAAAATTATTAGTCCAGGTTTTTTCTTTCCTTGCCCATTTTTTCTTTTTTGTGGGAGTATGTATTATGATGAAGTTCTTTGTTTTCAAATATTTTTGGTCTTTGGACCAAAAGTCAAATATACTTGGATCTCTGGACATAGATGGCTAAGTATACTGTGATAATGACTAAAGACTTTGAAATGTTATTTAAATATTCATATATGTTGTGAAATACTTCTCTTCCTCTATATTTTCAGGCTAAAGTAACTGAAGCTGTAGAATGCTTACTGTCCCTGAAAGCTGAGTATAAAGAAAAAACTGGGAAGGAATATGTACCTGGTCAGCCCCCAGCATCCCAGAAGTCACAGCCAAGTCCTGCCAGCAAAGCTGAGCCTGCTGGTCCAGAGACAACAGAAGCCAAAGCGCTGTTTGACAGAGTGGCTTGTCAAGGAGAAGTAGTTCGAAAACTTAAAGCTGAAAAGGCCTCTAAGGTCAGTGTGGACCAACTTTTTTGTTTAATTTACATAACCATGTGTAGCTGTTAGAAAGTGCACTGCATAATCTATTTCTAGTACTCTAGACTAGTCTTGTCCCTTTTATATTCTTTTATTTTCTTAGTATATTTTAGCATTTTGTGTCTACATCTGTTGCCCTTAACTGTGTGTAAGTCTGGGTGTGGTATTTGTTAATGTATGCCAAGACAGTGATTTTTCACTGAATGCTGTCCTCCTTTGTCCTCTTGGTTCCTTAAAGGATCAAGTGGATCCAGCTGTGCAAGAACTCCTTCAGCTGAAGGCACAGTACAAGTC